ACCCAATTGAAACCCACCAGAGCATACGTTACCATTACCCGTCATATCTGTCTTTGTCATTTATTCTCAAAATGAAACCCTAACCCGGCAAAATGAACACCAGCGTTGCAATTCTTATAAATAAACATTGTGTGTGGGATTTTATAACCTATAGAGGCAAGTGAGCCCAAGCAGGCATTCGTTGTACAGCATGTATTCGAACATGAGTGGTTTTATCTATACCGCAGGTCAGCAGTTCAGAAAGTCTAGTGGGGAGGTTTTTATTCTGCTGTAACAAAAGTAATAAAGTTGACGATATGAGTAAGTATGTGAGCTTTGCAATGAACACAACTCTAAAATTGCGACGCGTCTACGTCCAATAAAACGCCATGGTCACGTAACGTGGTAACCTCGTCTTGAAATAAACGCTGCTTTTAGCATAGCAGTAACTGATAACGGGTTTAACGACGGCGTCTTAAAAGAACGTCTCACGACATGGTTACGTCACCAGCCGTTACCATCCAGCCTCGATGTGAAATTACTCCATGCACTGACGTTAGATTTGGACGTCCAATGCTATTTTGACGTTGCATAAATCTCTAAAGTAATAGGTATAACCACTTCTTGAGCCCACTTTGACGACAGTCGCCTCTACGCATGACTTTCACAATAACAAGATACACGTGGGTATCTTTAAGTGTGTTCATTATAGAAGTGTATTATCCTTGTGTCGTGCTGTCGAAGGGATGGGATGGTACGTCTGTTTGTTGTAGTTTACCTAAACTGTTATTCTCACGTATCTCTAATCTCGTCATATCTACAGCGCGGATGTCTACGAGTCTTAATGAAATGAGTTGGTGATTCAGCGGGTTCGTATAAAAGCAGCAACTAATTCACCAAAATAAAACGTGCAGAAGATTCAGTACCTTCATTTCACAATCAGTTGTTTTCATATAGACACCCTAATCATAGTATTTGACGCATAAATAACCCCTTTGAAGCACAACGAGTCAATTATTGCCAAAAATGTCATAAAACCCGAGGTGAGCTGTCCGCGTGGTTATATTTAGTTACCATGAAGTGTATGGAAAGGCCAGGGGAGCCTGAGAAAAAGAAGCAAATCCTTTTCCGCTTCAGTTGGCGTTGCGTCGTGGGGTGTCGCAAGTATTACGCGAGGGTGAATGAACGCTTGAGAAAGGCGAGTGTTCCACGGCACAGAGACAAGGGATCGATATAAAGAAAGCTGGAACATGGTTAGGTCCCCGTGATTCTGTGGTTCGGGCACGGTGTGCATCTATCATTAAATTGAAAGTCTTTTAGCCCGTTTCTTAAGTCAAATCAATGGCAGATTGTCAGGAATTACTGCTTTAAATGTGACACTTCAATTACAAGCGTCCATGTTTACTGTTGTATACAAGTCAGCCCCAAACAAAAGTCAATAGCAAGCTGCGATATTTTTATAACGTGTCATGGTGCAAGGCCATTACGGACAATTTGATGGTTCTTTCGGGGTTGGGGGAATATTATTCAGATTTATTTCAATAAAAATGAATCACAAAGAGTTTTTATCTGATTGTGCTGATGCCTGAGAGAAAAAAAGGATTTTTGTCTTGCAACACGCAATCCCCAGCCATTGCTATCTGTCTCATCCCCCATCTTCTTTTGAGCCTTTTATCGAATTGAAGACATTCATCACCAGTATTATCTAAGCAGAAAACAGTCGAAAAATACTGTTCGACCTTGATGTACTTTCTGATATATGTCAATAGGGTTGTGTGATAATAGTTTTCATCCATACTTAAACACGAGAAACACTGGGTTAATTGCACACATATTTCTGTTGATAATGTTAAATGATTAGAGTGAAATATGAAATTAATATGTTTGTGTTGAATAAATTGTAAATGATGTTTCTAAATTATTTTTATTGTTTATTTATATGATTTACTTATCGACTTATTCGTAATCTCATTCATTGTTGATAATGTCATAGCTGAGCGTATCTTAGAGAACTTGAGAGTCTGAGAATATGTTAAGTCCTGATATATTCTTAACAAAACCTACAGTCTATGTCCTCCGGCCTCAAAATGACCAAATAAATAAACTGAAAAGAAGATAAAAGAATATGTCCCACGCCTTACGCTAACAATCAACGAGAATATCAAAGCAAAAGAAAACTACCAAAAAAACCAAAACAACAACAATCAAACCTCTAAAAATACAAAAACTATAATCACGGCTAATCTGCACATATCAATCGGAAATCAGACACATTGTTAACTATTGTAAATCAACAAACCAAAATATCTCTCGTCTAAATAAACAGTCACACAATAAGACACCCACCCCTCCTCACCCCACCTTCACCATAAATCTAGCTCATACTACAACTGACGCTTCCTAGGCACTATGAAGTATTACGTCATGCATGTATAGTGTGCAATAAAATGCTTATCCTTCATGAATTATGCTTTACCTTTAATTGCAATTAATTCAAATTTCTTTGACCAAACCTCTTAAAATTGGACAGGATAATTACAGTCTTGATTTACTTGGCCGGTTTGCCTGCAGGTATTCTCATCTCGTGACTCCGTCCGCTGTACAATGTCTACGTGATGTTATCGCCAGTTAAGCAATCAAACATCTCATTAACTGTGTCCTATATCCCTTGCCATAGCGTGGAACGACGACTGCAAACTTATTGATGTCTCGTGTCGTATTTATTATCTATGCGATGATTAATTAGGTGGAAACTGTGACTACGGGCGGCGACATTAAGTATACCGAACAACCAAAAAGCCATTGAATATTGTCAATAATCAGTTTGAATACGGTTCGGTTGCTCTGGTTATGGCTGTCATGCCTTTGTGATTTGTTTGGTAAACGGAAGTCATTTTGTGTTTTCGAAGTTGGATTCAATTGATATTGAAATATGGCTGAAGTCTGTTTATTACAAAAAATAAATTAGGACACTGGTGAATTTCGATTTGGGATGTCAGAAATTATTAATATTTCATACCAGACATTTTCCACTGAAATCGTTGTTTCTTCCCCTGAGTAATGGTTTCTTCCAAAAGTAGAACTGACATTTTTCCGAAATGATGTAATGAAATTTGACAGGTATTAAGAGAGAATGGAGATTGATATTTTTTAAAGAACGTATTTCTCAATCAGGCCTTGCATGATACCAAGAAGGACATTTAATATTTAAGATTCCCCTCAAATTAATTGTTTTTTCATCAAATTTATATAGCATGTCACAAGTAGCCTTATCCTTGGACCGAACCCAGCCATGGCTCATCATGTCTGATATACTTGTCAAATCTAATCAAATTTGACGTTTCTTTAGAAAGGCTTTAATAAGTTATTGAATTGAAAACAAACTCTACCCAGGAAATTCGTTTCTCGCCATTAATTAGGAAGCGTGTTTGGAGCTGAAGACGCCTGATCATGTACTATTCACTACCCCCATCAACTTAGAATAATACAAAGACTGAAGTCAGGCTATACACGCCTGTCAAGCGACGGTAGTTATATGGGGCCAAAATGATTCCTTAAAAACGCTAACAAAAGGCACAGCGTCTGAACGGTAATGTGGAGGAGATAATTTTCAGTACAGTTGCCACTGCCAAAGAAATGTCCCGTCCCCCCTTCCCGCTCCCCCGAAGTGTCCCCTACCTGTCAGGTGAGCTCACCTGTGCTGCGTCCCAAGTGCAGGGCCCTCGGGCTAGACATAAAGCTCCGTGAAAGCTTCTTGATGGCGTAGTGAGATAAGTACCCTTTTCTCCGTCTTCCCGTATACTGCAGAGTGTGGATGTTCTGACATGGGATTATGCTGACGGTATACTGTGTAGTGTCTGAACCTAATGTCTGGGCCTAGTGTCTGGATCTAGTGTCTGTTGTGTCACACTGTACGTGCGATTCAAGGGATGGTGGACACAGTACGAACGCCTCAAGGAAGGAGTGCACTTGACTTACAGGTGACGCTTGGACTTTTTCTTGACCGTTGACCTGGTGTGCTTTGTGAATGCAGTAATGGATTATGGTGCGCTGTGTATGTATTGTGGCGGTTCATGCGTGACGTTATGGATGTTGACGTTTAATCTACTGGGCAAGTGCTGCTGCAGTATCGGGTCGTCGGTGAGGTACAGGAAATCATTGATCACACGAATGACCTGTTCGATTGTGGCCTGATACACAGGTTAGAATGTGTTGTTACCGATGCAGGTGTATTGGACATTTGATATTACACTGCTGCGCTTCATCAAGTGATGGGAACTATGGGATAATGAATAGAAAAGTGTGATCGTACAAGGTTTAATTGTACTAGGCCACAGTTACTCTTTCGACTTTACCATAGTGATGCTTTATTCCTCAGAATGAGTAATTTGCGACGATAGGCATCGGAAAAGTAGCAATAGCCATGCGAGCGCGATCTGAAAAAAACATGACCCCAAACAACGAAGCCTATTCAATAATATACAGTTGGCGCACAGTGTACTTTACTAATGTTGATTGTCTGTGATGCAGTGTGATTTGTTGGGTGTTTGCAGGCCTACCTTCGTCACATTTGTGGATGAATGTGTTGGTAGTATTAAAGAACTGAGATAGTGACCTGTATCGATGAGAATATTACTCCGCAGATAGGAAGCATCAGTATGTTTTCACACTGAGTGGGTAGGTGATGATCTCATGGATTTTAGTCCGTGGGGGTTAGAATCCCTTTAATCTACGAAGAAAACGACTTCACTTTTCCAATCAACACAGTGGCTTGAGACTTCCAATCACACTTCCACGAGGACACCACTTGACGCTAGAATTAACGTACACGTTGGGGTCGTGTCGGCGTCGTTGTATCCAAGACAGCGGCTGTTAGTTCAACAACGTACTCGACGTGCAGATACGCTGAACCACATATGTGTTGTTTTCTAATTATAGTAAGTTCAATCGATATAAATGATATCTGTAACACAATATCGCATGTTGGAGTCAGTTTCTCAGAGCTGTTTGTTGTCTTTCAGATTAAGGCCGGCATGGATAAAACCAAGAACCCCCGCGGTTCTGGTATCCCTCTCTTTGTGGGTCAGGGGAGCAGCAGCGTGGGTAGCCCTGTCCCCCATCGGAGTCCAATATCCCATCGTGCTGTCATCGGTAGTGAGACTTGTCTGCCCACCCCAGATGGAAGAGGGTTCGGTGATTTCCACACCCGGCAAAAGGCAAGTACATTTATGTTGAGTGTGGAATCCATTACAGAACTTGAGTCCTTGGTAGCGGATGGATCGGATGGTTAGGGGTTAGGACGGTGATGGGGGATTTGGGGGCCTAAAGCGGGTGCGTAGGGTGAAAACGGGTGCAGAGGGACGTGAGAGTAGGTGAGTAGGGAGGTAAGCATGGATGAGTAGTAAAATAGTTTAGGAAGACTGGGTTGGTTGAGCAGAGAGTGGGTTGAGAGGGGAGTGAGGGTAGGGGGATTCGTTTGAGATTGGGTGGGTAGGGATGTGAAAGATGGTGGATAGGGAAGTAGGAGTGGATGGTTAATGGGGTGAGAGTGGGTGGGTAGGGAAATACGAATAGGGGGGTATGGAAATGAGAATGGATGGTTAAGGGGGTGAGAGTTTTGGGGAACGGAAATACGAATAGGTTGGTAGGGAATTGAGAATGGGTAGGTTTTGAAGTGAGTAGGGAAGTGGGTAGCAAATGAAATGGATTGGAAGGGATAGCTTGTTCGGGATGTGAGAGTGGATGGTTAAGGGGTGAGAGTTTTGGGGTACTGAAATACGAATATATAGGTGGGTAGGGAAGTGAGAATGTGTAGGTGTGGAAGTCGGTAGCAAAATAAGTGGATTGGCAGGGAAGAGATAGCTTATCCGGGACGCGAGAGTAGGATTGTAAGGACTGAGTGAGTTAAAATTTAAAGTCACAACGGCAGTATTTCCGCCATATCGTGGTAGGGAAGTGAGAATGGGTGAGCAGTAAAGTTGATTGGTTACGAATTGGGAATGGGTCGGCAGGGAAGAAAGAGAGTCGGAAGAGAAGAGAGACTAGGTGGGTAAGTGGTGAGATTGGGTGGATGGGGAGGTGGGTGTTGCATATTTGTGTTGTTGGTTTGTTGTTTAACACCGCACTCAGCAATATTCCCGCTATATGGCGTCTGTTGCATACGAAGCGAAAGTAGGTAGATGTGTGTTGATGAGAGATGGTTGTAAGGGTTGTGAAAATTAGGATCATTTAGGCTCAAGGCGAACGTTGGGAATTATTTAGTTCCAAACATTTGCTGGAGTAAAGTGAAACGGATAGAAATCTTTATGAACTTTTTGAAACTGGCCGTTGTTTTTGGATTCAGAATGACTAAATTAATTATTTTATTCAACAACCATAGACTTGAGTGATTATGGTTTTACGCCGCTTTTAGCAATGTTCCAGCAATATTACGGCGTGGGACACTAGAAATGGGCTTCACACTGTGTACCCATGTGGGGAATCGAACCCGGGTCTCCGCGTGACGAGCGAACGCTTTAACCACTAGACTAACCCATCGCTCCACCATAGACTTGAATGGTTCTAGTCTGCACAGTTGATCTGTAAACATTTCACATTGCTCAACACATCTCTAAATCTAAATTGATAGAAATGCATTTTTCGCGTAACTGGAATCAGACGCAAAACTCTATGGTATAGAACAGGTCCAGGGTATTTAACAGACTAGCATGACACTATAAAACAGTTGATAACCGAGGATGACACCACCACAACAACGACCACTCTCCCAGCAGTAGCACGGGGTCCGATATAGTCGCACCCAGCCACCACCACTAACAGTCGAGACTAACAGGAGTATTGTTGTTGAAGTAACTTTGAACAATTCTGAAGTGATACGCACTACCAGGTGACAGGTCCTCACACGCGTCACCAAACAACCTCCATCATCACCTCGTGTAGGAATAGTGTTTACCAAATGTCGACAGGTATACCTTGACGCAGCAGGTATGTACCAGATTGACTTAGGACGATGCTGCAACGTCAGTATCACTCAATTGATCTTTTATGACGCCCCGACCTCTGATATTTCCTCATCCAACATAATTACTGTTACTATTGCAAGGAGCGTATTGATCAAGGCTTACTGTTAGTTAATACGGCTTTACTCTTCCTTCAACACTGACGAGGGTTGTTGATTAACGTGATCTCGTGTCTTTACTGATATTTCATGTACGTTTTTATCATTATCACATGAATGAATAATATTTTTCAAGAAGGACCTGAGAGTCGTATTCTCTTTAAGTATGTTTTCAACGTCGGAATATCTATTAACTCAGGTGACTGAAACAACATTTGATTGTATTCGTTAGATGTATACTTAATATGTGGAATATTCATCACCACCGGTATTCTCTGTAGGTTTGTTTGCACCAATGTCAGAATATCCATCAACTCAGGTGAAACTATTTGATTGCATCAGTTTTAGATATAATTAACATTTAAATTTTAAAAAAACCACCACTCTGACCATAATGCTGAAGAGGATCAGAATGGGACATCGTGTAAATCACAGTGATAATAAACTCGGGTCACAAAGTCGTTCGTTTGTGCTGTGTAAAAAGTTCATCGATATCCCTGCGTCCCGTATCGACACTCGGTGAAAAAATGCAAACATTTTTTTGAGCGTATAACCGCATCCAAGCGTGAAACATCAATTCTGAGGGAGGTTGTCAGGGTTGCTGGAGCTAACTGGAGCGTGACTTAATCACAGCCCAGATTTATTGTTGTCTGGATCAAACATATGGTTTGTTTTACAGTATTGATTAAGAAGGCTAATTACCATCGGTTGGTAACGGTAATTATCAGACATTTGATGAAATGTATGTTGATAAAGATAACAAAGATATGGTGTTTGAATTACTTGTTTGATAGCTGCGTGTCATACTGTAAATATAAGGCTGTTTTCTGTAAACAGATATCCGTGCAGATGCACTGAATTAACTGTATTTAAATGTAGATTAACGATAGAACTCTGAGGCGAACAGATGGTCGTGATAGGTGGGTGTTGCCAATTCGTAAAAATATCTGATATAAACACTTTCCGTGTTTTTATGACTTATGAAAATAAATCTGCAGAATATCTTGTCGCCCTTCAATTTTAAACTTTCAGACCATTTTGAGACACAGAGGAAATACGTTCAGTGAACACATTTCCAAGGATTTCATTGTTCTACCATCGGCTTCGCTGGCTTGGTCACCCATTACATCTTAACGCCATTTCGTATCTCAGACACACAAATTATATAAGACATTTATACGGTTGAAAATTTCATATCCAGAAGGAACAATAATTTTGATAAATTTTCAGACAAATGGTTTCCTTTATTCTCAACATTTAATTTCTGACTTAATCTTTAATCGAAGGGGAATAACTTTACTGGATTATATTCTCTCTATGCTATCAGTTGATCTAACATATTTGTTGAACCCAATGAACTTTGATCATGTACATTTATTTATTGCTTTACTTTATATGTTTGTACTCAATTATGGGAACAAATAAAAAGATTTTTTAAAATAAAATTTAAAAAAAAAATTATATGCGCTCCGTATATTTTTGTTAAATCGCCTTAGTTTAAAATGCACGTGATGTGTGCTTATTTGGTTTTAGCCGCATTCTGTTCATTCTTTTCCCTGAGAAATCCTTAAATTGATTATACACATTTCATAGAATATAGCCATCGATACTTGACACAAATGGTTATGGTCGGTTAGAACGCGGTTGTCCACACCAATACATAATGGGGTAAGGTTTAAACTTTCATCGGATTCGCTTCAGCGTTCTAAATCCATAAAACCACCATTCTCACTGGTAGTACAGCGTACTTTGACATTAATGTGTAGCTATTGTACGTCCAGATCAGTAAGGATGAACTAATACCATTAAGAATAGCAAATGAAGCCATACTTTGACTAAAGGCGTTTTATTTCCGGTAAGTGTCAATCAAACGCTACCATTAAGTTGTCGTTTGGTGGTCGTTGTAGCAGACGATATTCTGTCGACAGATGTCAGTTCGCGCCAACCGAGGAGACTCTGGTAATGAAGTATTGTAACCAACGACCTTTGCCGTGACCTACTCAATGTAATTTCAAGCAAGGGTACCTTCCACAATCACTAGTGCAACTCCGAGTCAACATCCAGTCATTATTGAAAGTTTTCAGAGCACATGAGTGTTATTGTTAAGGAAGGGTAGGGGGTCTGGATGTTATTATTTGATAACACTTACTATCATTGCTCAACAGCAATTGTTAGCTCTCTGTGCACGGGAGAATTACACAGCCAGTTGCCTTTGAAAAAAAATCGAGATCGGGCCATGTCATTATTTGACAACATGATGGTCATTGTGTCTTCTAAACACAACTGAGAACGAACAAAAACACTGCTGCTCTCGGGAAATGAGGACCAAGTTTATCAGATAAAACATCATTAGCTGAAGAGAGAAGGTTAATTTGTACACAAACGCCGAGAGCTGAAACACGTCCATCTTGCCTAACCGTGACTAATAATCCGGGCAGTAAACGCCATGAAAAAACGGACTTTATCCGGGAAATACCTTGAGAGTTGATCAAGTTGAAAAAAAGCAAATGAGTCATTGTGTCCTTGGTTACCAGTTAATTTGAAATGGTCATACAATTTGGCCTATCCAGCTGAGATCGTGGCCTGATTAGCCCAAGTGTCTAACTCGTTTCATGCATCACAGTTAAATAGGAATTTTTTGATGGACAAAATCAAATGGAATAAAAAATAAATACCTTTGCCGCAATTTTACGTCAGAATTATCTAAATCTGTGTTTAAATCTTTCGAGTTTGGAAACGCCTAATAACTATTTCAGACCATTATCTGATTTCGTAAAATTTCGAATCACATTGATATCTGGAAGATGCCACTTTTTGACATTTCGTTTCCATCAAGTTTATTGCATGGCTTCACATGTAAATTTATAAATTGAATGTGGGATTTATGTGATCGTTTAATCCGTATCAGTCTTTAATCGTGTTCTGACGCCTTCACTAACAACCAGCTGCCCAGATAAACTGATACCGCATATATTATATAACAAGAACCCATTGAACGTCCGTTCCGCGCACATGCAATTTTCATTATCTACGACTTGCATTAAGTGTATATCTCTTTAGATTACCCGTGAGAGCGTTTATATTGGTCAAATATGGTTTTGAAAATATTACTCGGAAAGAGGTTGATTAGATATAATCCCCCCTCATCAGGAAATAGCTGTCAAGTTATCGAGAGGGTCAGAGGTCAGAGGAATGTTATCATGGGTTATTTTGACATAAGTGTCACAACATGCGGATGGTTGGGATAAATAGGTATGTATGCGTGTTAAATATTACAGCTGATAGCGATGTCAAAACGTCCATTATGTTTACTTGGTGCATTATTGCGATTGAAAAAGCCTTCCTTTGACGCCAGGAGAGAGTGGTTTTTGTTAATGGATGGTTGTTGAACGTGTTTCGTGGAGAAACTGCGAGGGATTCTGCGACAGTACAGGTAATGTATTTTGCATTCATGATGTCAAGGTGGTTTCCGTAATTGTGTAGTTTATACTTTATGTCATCTCACTTGAACGCCTTGCCCCTTGTCGTAGCTTAGCTTGGTGAGTAAGTGAGTTTAGCTTTACGCCGCTTTTAGCAATATTGCAGCAATATCACGTCGGGGGACACCAGAAAAGGGCTTCACACACTATACATTGTGGGGAATCGAATCTGGGTCTTCGGCGTGAAGAGCGAACGCTTTAACCACTTGACGACCCCACCGCCCGTTAGCTAGGTGAGCTACAACAGACCGTGCACGTGTAAGTTACATTCTGACATAAGAGTCAGGTGTCTGTTGTAGCTCACCTGGATGACAGATGAGATGACACATGACACAAGGATGCCTAGTATGTAACATCCTGACACATGTGTTGGGTGACCTAAAACAGAGTCTTTACTTCGTCTATTACATGCTCGATACACGGGTCAGAGGGGCAATGACAGATATTGTGTCGTGTCAGTTATAATCAGATTCAGCCGTGCCATAAGAACATTTACCTTTCTGTGTGTGATTTTGAATAATAGAGAATAACACAAGAGACAAGATGGTAGAAGTACCCCAAGGTTGGTTGTTGTTTAACGCCGCACTCAGCAATATTACAGCTATAAGATAATATATTTTATTGCGCAAACGTTCCATGCAGAAACAGTGACAATACCCTACATAAACACATACGGCGGTCTGTAAATAATCGAGTCTGGACCAGACAATCCAGAAAGTAACCCATGTGTGATCTGTCTGCCTGTACATCATGTCATTACACTGTGATCCGATGCTCATGCTTTCGACCACTGGTTTATACGCTCCGACGACGTCGATTGGTTACAGAATCAGATCTACCCTTATTTGATTATACCGTCAAGTTACATTCGCGATTATATCAGGACAACTATTCAACATACAACAGCGACGGCCAGAGGTTGAATTTTGCCCTCATGGGAATTTCGAGTTAGAAAATTGGTCCCCAGCAAGTTATGCAGATGGTAAAACCACAGAGATCGGATTAGTCGGACCACTTTATTTCCCCTACTGTCCAGCCCTCCCTGCAATGCTAAAGCACTGCATGAAGCAAGTCTAGATTTCCTCCGGTTCACTGGGTCTCATTTTCAATTAAATGGGTTTATTTGTTACTCTCAAACTATATATATTCAGAGACTAAGCGTTAGCCTACGATTGGATGATCAGGTTAGGATACTTCTTTGATGGATGTCATCGTACCCCGACGGTTTGTATGGGTGGTCACACCATCAATCTCCGGATTGTCTGGTCCAGACTCAATGGTTTACCGGCCGCCGTAAAACAAACAAACAAACGTTGGATTTTGATTGAAACTTGTTTAGCCAAATGTTAGTTCAAAGTCTGTTAGTCCCCAACATCTGCGAAACGTCCACGTGGTGAGACCGCGACAGCACAGATACGACCCGTGTCACTGGCAGAATTTAACACTAACCATCCCTCCCTCCTGTGGTCCGCCTATCTGGTCATGTGTCAAATCCCGCGATGTCTTCAAGTTTGATATAGTCTAATTGTCCCAACTATGCCCACAGTGGCATCACGCGGCGTAAGTTACTGGGTAATTTGCCCACGGCACCTCATTACCAATATCGCTTGAATTTATCATGCCACTCTCTCAGAGTGTTTTGATTCCCATAACATCTGTTTATTTGGTCAAATCATACCTAACCTTTGTGTCATATTGGAGGTTATTTTACTTCTCAACTTCAAAAGGGTGTGTGTGTTCGTTTCTCCCACGGGCTAAGGGTCGTTGTAGGGGTTCAAGGAATGTTTACATCTCCTTAAGCGGTTGTTTGTGGTTTGTGTTTATTAGATGTTATCTGGCTGCGAATTAAAGATATTTAAAGCTTTGATACGTAGCGTATTTGTGAAGAGCTGGGATGATAATCGCAAGCACAGTGTTAGTTATTGGGGACGGTCCCCCTCTTAGTGAGCGCTTCCAGACCACTGACCAACGCAGGGTGAAGGAGGATTAGTATACGCGGACAAGTGTACACGGGGGCTTATAGTTCATTATTTTATCATTTATCTTCTTTTGACAACAATGGGACTTTAAACTTAGATCTAGCGGTGGACGGATGAAGTTTGTCAACAACTATTGACAATATCTGTTTTTCCTTTCAGATGGACCGAAACATGAGTGGGGTGTCGAGCGGCGGACCCCCCGTCAAGGAAGACAGTGGCAGTTGGAGACTCATCTCCCCGACCAGGGAGAGCGTTGCCCCCCAGTCCATAAGAGCAGGGGACCTTAAGGAGAGGCACTACTCGCATGTGGTTGATACCGACTTGGGTGACCGGACAGACAAAAGTGGCTATTCGTCTACCATGGAGTATCCCATTAGGGGAACAATGTCACCTCTTACCAACCAAATCGTAGTGAAACGATCCATTGGTCCAGTGGATGAGGTGTCTTTTGTATTTGGGCGACCTGCCTCGCCCCGGAGCGAGAGGGCTTCTACAAGGTGCCTCTCTCCGATCAGTGATAAACGTTTTGCCACCTCTTCGGATATTTTACCTTTGAAGAACAGTCACAGCCACGGCGATCGCTACCACCAGCCCTCAGTTGGGGCGGGTGGGGGAGGAAACATGGGAGGGATACTTTGCGAAAACTGTAACAGTTGCCTTATAGACCTTAAACGTCAAGCTCTTCGACTTGTGTTCCCCGATAACGAGGCTAAAGGACCGGCCTTGAAGGTAAGTCCGATAACTCTCTATTTTATGACTAACTTGTCTTATTAAAATCTTGGTTTCAAACTCCCGGATCACCTAAATCAAGAAGTACTAATTGCAAGGATCATGACTGCCGCAAGAGAACAATTCACATGCCCACCGCCACTTGATCCTTCGATGACAGTGTAACACGGAGACGGTTATAAAACTGATGCCTTTTGTCTTGCCTATTGTTACCCTAGAACCTCTCACAGGGTTTTCTTTCAAAATGAATTTTTATAACATGGCTTGTCATTGCATCCTGATTTATTTCTTTACAAGACTTCCCCCTAGAACGTCTAGGCCCAGATTAGGGGCCTTGGGCGATCGTTTAGATGGAATAGACGATACCGCACTGTCCGTAATGCTGTAATTGTCTTGCAGACTAAAACACAGGTTTTGTTCATTCTAAAGAATCCCCAGTACTGCGCGCTTAACACGTCCTGTGTGTTAACAAAAAAAATTCAACACACTTATAAAACCACTGTAAAAGACGAACTTATTACCGACACACACAAAAAACATGCACGTGTATCAACAATTTAGGTGTGCATCTTAGTTTTTTTCAATTAAGATAATGAAAAATAGGAATAAAGTTTAATTTGAAAGTGATTCATGTCTTAAATATTCAATTTCGGGGATTTCATTTTAGAACCACGTTGAAACCATGTCCCGCTCTAGGCCGTAATTTGACCTCGTGAATTTTATAGGCCTCTGGGTCAAGTTGACCTTTTGCACTTGTGTTAATGGTTTTTGCATATTGAATAAACGTAGCAATTTGGCCACATTTTCAACAACGTGGAACACCTCTCCATATGGTGACAAAGGGATGGGGTATACATTCGTTACTTTATTCAATAAAGGAGATGATCGGTGGTACTTAATAGAATCTGAAACACGTCGGGGAGACGTTGCCATCGATGGCGCATAACCTCGTTCAGGACGTCGTCTTCCTGATGAATCCTTTCAAAAGTTTCCAATATTGTTCCGAAACACAGAGGCGAACTTCTAGAGTTAATGCCAAGTGTTGAGAGATGCAGGTTTTACTACAGAAATATACGTTAGTTCTGAACAGGTCGCTTGCAAGCATCTGAACGCTTCAGTAACCCATACTTGTTGTAAGAGGCGACTAAGGGACCGTTCATAATTTATGGCTAGGGGGGGTGATGATGATTTGATGATTTTTATGGAAAAGCATGTACAATGTGAATGACCCCTCCTAAAATTTATGTACAAAATAAGTGACCCCCCTGCATGTCATGTTCAAAATCAATGACCCCCCTCCCCTACCCATAATTTCTAAACATAATTTTAAACATGCTTTGATGAACAAAATTGATGACACCCCCCTAGTACGTGTGTACAAAATTTATGACCCTTCCTAGCACGCGAGAACAAAATTGGTGAACCCCACCTAAAATCATCCTCTCTCTTCTCCCCCCTCTCTCACCCCCCACCCCCAACAAGAAAAATTATCAAAAAAAGTATCCAAAAAAAAAAGCCATAAATTATGAACGGTTCCTAACGGGATCGGGTGGTCAGGCTCGCTGACTTGGTTGACACATCGGTTCCTAATTGTGCAGATCGATGCTCATGCTGTTGACTACTGGATTGTCTGGTCCAGACTCGACAATTTACAGACCGCCGCCATATAGCTGGAAAATTGCTGAGTGCGGCGTAAAACTGAACTCATTCACTTGCGAGATAACTCCATCACTGAGGAAATGATTTTGAAAGTTTTAAGAAGTAATGACGGTCTGCAGTGTCGCTGGAGTTGTAAATGATGCAACACCAAACCCTGACGTGGTTAAAAGATATTACTGAATGAAATATCAGAAGTTTGTTGAGAACATAGCACCATGGAAGCCATTTCTCCCGATCGGAATAGCCAGGGGATTGGCTCATCTGAGACTGAATTTGATGCATGTAGTGCGATGAGAATTTCACGGGTCTGATAACAAGTCGGGATCATCATAATTCATAAACCGAACCCCGGTTTCATATATTTGAATGGCTTTTTATGGTTACGTGTAATCTAACGCAAGAACAAAGACCCAGGAGAATGGTTCAGAAAACGCATTAGCATTTGACCCGATGACATTTCCAAGGATTTATGACTTTCCATAAAAATTGGCACAATTTTGAAAGCGAGGTAAGGAATAGGCAGCGATATGGGTGCAGTTAAACCGGAATAGGAGACCATCTTATCCAACACAAGCGAACACGTCTTACGGGATCGCATGGCACCTGATATGAAAATCATATCTATAGAAACAGCGACGAGGCAGGCAAGTGTTTGAATTAATGAGATAATCTGATGCTGTTCCTTCCAAACTTCTCATCAGTTTCAGCGTTCTTCGCCTGCGAAAGGTTTATAAGGTGTTCTGTAAAGATGTATTTGTAAGCAGATGAATCACAGTGAGAAACGTATGTCGCGATTTCTCCACAACGGAGAGAAGTTTGATCATCTGGTAAGGTTATGGCGTCGTTGAGTGGTGAATCTGATATATGACGGGGTGTTTTAGTTCCAGTGTTACAGATATCTGTACACCTGCCTGTGCTGAATGTATGTGTATCGCGTTGAAAGACTTACGACGAGTCGAGAACCACAGTTACCGGGCTGTCTCAGTTCGCGCAGATGATTTACCGTTGGGCTGGATTAAACTGGAACCTTTTCGTTGATGGCAGAGGGACGTCTTTACCATCAGCGACGTGTGTAATATGCTACACCGTCGCCTTATGGATAATTATCAATGAATTCATTAGCCAGTACTCTTCATGTTGAAAGATTTGTGACTTGGGTGAAATTGGAAACCAAGAGCGGACGTCGGCTCCTATGGATATGGGAGCTACAGCGTCGGGATCACAGGTGCAAGAGTATGCTTTGTAGAACAATATCAAAGGGTTATAGGGCCCCTGTCCAGCTTGAGTCGATGTCAGCGTGGTCTAACGCCCAATTACCAACAGTTCCATGCACTTTCTACAGGGTCGCGACAGGTCCCCGATGCCTATCTGTTCCGTGCGTGTCTTCGCAGAGATGATACCCCCACTGAGAGAGGCTGAGGGGCGGGGGGTTTCAAGAGGGGAGTGCATGGATCGCTCTAGGGCACGCGTCCTATCTTTGGAAGCTCTAGGATTTCAATTTTCAATCGTGCAGCTTTGAGCCCACCGTAATGTTTTAGCCCTATAACATGCCCCGTAGCCCCTGCGGACGTCTACTAACCATCGTGTCGATGAACAGGGGGCAATTGATCTTGCGTAACTGATATCAAAAGTATTTGTTAGGCTAATCCTCGGTAATTTTCTCGCCTCTGGTCAAAGAAAAGACGTTCTGTTTTAGGGTTTCTTGTGTCTATACACAAGATAGAATCACTAACACACCAGAAACGTATTAGACTTTTTTAACAGTCAAAGAAAATTGAACTCCTTACAATGTCAGTGATAGTTGGTCGTATGTTGAAAACGGTAATATTACCTCTGGTGATAACCCGTCTGTGAGGAGTAGAGTCTGTCTCGAAGATCTGCCCTCTGGAAAGGCAGTTTATTACTTGGCTATCATGTTTTAACAACAGAATACCATAAATCAGCCTTTATGACACGATGCTGAACTGCAGTCTGTGGCAACTTGAGACCCATCCTCGGAACCCGAGGGTATGTTATGACATATGTGCTGGAACAGGGTGAAAGTGTATGACGAGGAGCATCAGACAACATTGGCTGAAGCGTGTGCATGTCAAACATTGGGCGGTGTATTTTGTAGTTATTTTATCTTTTAAGGTCCGATTTGACCTGGTCAGTTAGCATAAATCACGTACATCAAAAACACAAATGCGATGTATGATAAAAAACCCATTGCTATACCATATGTGCCAGTCATACATACAGGTGAAACTTGCCAATCCCCCAAATGGGATATTAAGTGTGATATACTAAGATGTTGCAGATAAAGGCGACACTTGAAGAAACGTCCGATTCTAATAATGTGATATCATATTTCAAATTTTCTAAATAACATAATATCTTTACGATATAGACACACACTTTCCTCAATGTATTCGATTCATGTTTCTAACGGTTACCCACCAAATGATGCTATCATGACAAGGCTGTGTGATTTAGAAAATGACTCGATTATTTACAGACCGCCGCCATATAGCTGGAATATTGCTGAGTGCGACCTAAAACTAAACTCACCCACTCACTCGATTTAAAATATAGACATTAAGTAGGTCAATAACGGAAGTGAATTACACACTACAACTGGACCTTGAAAACACTTTTTCTATGCCTTTAATATGTAGTATTTTTATATTTATGTCGACCACTGACCTTTGCTTAGCGAAAATCGCAAACCAATACAATATATAACCTAATGTGCATGTCTGCCAGACCTGAAGACCAGAGGCATCTCCAGACGCGGAAGTGAAACTGATAGCGATGGGGGTGCTCTCTATAAGGCAATGGCCTGCCAAACCTTGTCCTAATGGCGGTCGACACACTGCTCTCCTCTGCTTGTGCCTGTCAGAGTTTGTGGATGAACTGTAGAAGCAATCAGAAGAGATAGCGATGAACTTACACCGAGTGATTTATCTCCCGATGTATTTCACAGTCAGTCGTTCCGCGAGGCAATGGAACGCGAGAAAACAGCTTGCGTGCGCCTTAACTCAAATTTTACAGCCTAAAATTGACCGGCGTCAACACTAGTGTTGCCTTCGCGCTGTCTTTGGAATTATGTTGAGGGTATTATCTGGAACCTCCCTGTTGGAAAGCGTTTCGATTAACCATACCACATGACTGCATAACTGAATGTTTCTTGTCCCATGTGTGCGCACATTTTGATTATATTCCAGTAAAGAATTTACTCTTAATATGTAACTATAGATATTCGCTTTAGTTTTTCGGAATGTTGCATATTTACTGTTTTCAGTCATTTTTCGTGTTTAAAAATATATTAACCATGTTAGAGGATTCATCATTGAGGGGCA